CTGATTTGAACTAAGTGACTTGCCAAAGTTACACAGCTAATGAGTGACAAAGTTGAGACTTGAGCCCATGTGTCACAACTCCTAAATAAATGTTCCTTTGGTCACATCAAGTTAATGCAATATTTGCCTTGCCTTTTTAGAAATGTCAATGGAGCAATCTCTCTCACTGCATGCTCTTCTTCAAAAGTTCTAGGAAAACATACTCTGGGTCTCCATCACTTCCAAAAAAATCTCTCTCTTGCTTCTCTGATTCATGTCACATTATCATTTCCTGTTTTCCCCTCATAAGTAAATATCAGTCTTGATAGTCATAATGGGTATCTATTCAGAAATTAATTAATGGTCATCTAAAATGTTCCCTAGCTGCAACCAGGAGCTTAGTTAGGTACAGCAATCAGCACTTGAATATCATGCTCCTAGGAAGATTCCCTGGCCTCCTTGCATGATTTCCATTATTAGTGCCAATCTCTATTCAGAAATCAGCACATCTTTTTCTGTTTAGTTTTCTTAAATAATGTCCACTACACTGACATCACTCAGGTTTGTCCCATCATATTATCTTACTTTCTATATCACCCCCAACTACAAATGTTTTCTTTTTCCTCACCATGTCCATACTGGCATTATCTCTCATGTCAATCTCTCACCATTTTTATCATCCATCTAACAATGATATGTGGAGTATCTACCATTCCTCACTTCCTAAGCTTTTGCATTCAGGCAATTCAAACATTTTTTCTCTGAGTGAATCATTGCTCTAGACAATAAAGTTTTCCTCTACATTTCTGCAAATAGACAGCTCTTTTCATCATTCCCCCAGTGCACAGTATCCTCTTCACCCGTCATCTCTGTGATGCAAATCTGCACCACATCTTGCACACAAGTTAGCTTCAATTACTCTCAGCCAAAGCTCCCATGCACCTTCATACAGGCTAGATCATCTCTGCCCATCCCACCCGAGACAGAATTCTGTTCTTTCCTGTCATTTAGAGCTTACTACTCTCTTCTCTCCATATTCCTAATAACAGAGGACTCACTATCCACCCCAATTCAAAGCTCCTTTTCCCCATCACTTTCACATGACAATGTTCTTACAACTCTCCGTATCTATTATGTTGAATAATGGCTTATTGACCACCTGGAGTATGGCTTTGCCAAATAGAGATGTGCTAGAAGTATAAAATATGAGGGTACTTCAAAAAGTTTGTGGAAAAATTGAATTAGAAGGTAATACAAATCCTTCCACGAACTTTTTGAAGACTCCTCATACACACTGGATTTTGAAGGCTTAATATGAAAAGGGGATATAAAATATCTCATTAAATAAACAAAAAGAAAAAAATGTGTATATTGGCTGGCCAGTTAGCTCACTTGGGTTATAGTATGGTGCTGATAACACCAAGGTCAAGGGTTCAGAACCCCATACCAGCCAGCCACCAAAAAAAAAAAAAAAAAAAAGGTTTATATTAATATTAAAATGATAATATTTTAGAAATAGTGGGTTAAATAAAAATGTATCCTTAAAGTAAATTTTACCAATTTCTTTATACCTTTTTAACGTGGCTAATAAAACTTTTTACTTATATGGCTTGCATTATATTTCTACTAGCCAGCACTACTTTGGGCTCTTCTGTTGATTTGTACTTTAATTTTAATCTTCTCTACTAGTTTAAAATTCTCTCCTCTTTAACATTCCTACTAACAGACCATCCTCAATTAGCCCCACTGCTCCCCACACTCCAAAGCTAGAATTCTTTTCAATCTACCATTCGCAATACCTTTCTACCTCATTATTTCTGTACACAGCATTTATTTTTTGTCTGCTAATACAGCTTCTCTCCCTGCAATCATATCATAACAAAGTTCTGATTTTTTCTTCATCAATTCTAGTAGAGGGTGGTATCTGTCTTAACTCTCAGCAAAAATTTTTCTAAGGGCCGGTCCGGGGCTCACTTGGGAGAGCATGATGCTGACAACACCAAGTCAAGGGTTAAGATCCCCTTACCAGTCATCTTTTTAAAAATAAATAAATAAATAAATAATAAATTTCAAAGTCTTTATAATTCCCAGTGAAAAGAATTTCACTCATCATTCTCCGAATTTGTCTATCTTCACTATAATTTTATTTAAAGGGGCTAGTAATAGTGAAACACTAAACAAATGTAAATTAGTAATAATTTCAGACCAATGTCACCCATTCACACTAAGAGAGCAATTTCTCCTCTGTCATTTTAAAGACTGAATTCTCTTTTTGGGGGTGAAGAAGAGCTGGCCAGTAAAGGGATCCAAACCCATGACCTTGGTGTTATAAAGCTGTGCTCTAACCAACTGAGCTAACTGGCCAGCCCAAAGATTGCATTCTTTCTCCAAACTTTTCTAATGTTGAGGTTTCAATCCCATTGTTCACAGCAGAGAAACTCTCTCGTTTTACTCCAAATACCCGAATACAATTCCCAAAGTGGAGTATCTGTTTTTTAATCATTTTCAGCATGGGCCATGTGCCATTACTTCCCAAATTGATTTATGTCTAACATTTCTGGAACTGCATTTTCTTTTCTCAATGATTTCAGGAAAACCTCAAGACTGGGAAGGTGGGTGTAAATGGCTTGGCGAGGAAGAGCTGGGAGAATTTGCACTGAGAGTGATGAAAAGCACCCATCACAAATAAGAGCTCCCACTCATTATCCTCTTTGAATGTTTCTGCTGAAGTCTCTCCTTACTCCTCTGCCCTAGCCACCCTGCTATAAACCTTTTATGTGTGTGAATTACCTTCCTTCCAGCACTTTCTCAAAATTCTTTCTCTGTAAGGTCTCCTCCCATCATTCTTAGCAAAGAAATTCCTTGCCTTTACTGCAAGAACAACACAAGTCTCTTTTTTTGCTTCCAATATTTTCCTCAGATGATGATCTTTCTTTCATCGTTCCATATAAATTTGTTTCCCATCACTCCCAGTGTTGAAAAACCTTTAAAAGGAAATTACTCCTGGTGCTGAAACTTTTTCCTATTCCCCTAGTATTTTTATTTAGCTCCCTCCCAATCCTCTCATGACGGAACTCTTATACACACACACACACACACACACACACACACACACACACACACACACACACACAGAGACACTTCTAGTCCACTACTTCTGATCGCTTTTCATTTAGTGCAGTCCAGAAGCTCCTCTTCCAATGGACAGGCCTCTCTTCATATTCTCTTTGGAATATGAAGCTCATTCCTTGGTCCTTTCCCCTATTTTTCTCTCCTCAATATTTCTCATGTGTTCTTTTCCTCTGCTTATTCCTCTCTCTCAATGTCTGGCTTTGCAGACAATATTCTGTCTGCTTCAGAAAAGAGCCCCCCCTTATGCATATGGGTCAAAATAACATATGGGTCAAAAGAACTGAGGAGCTCTGAAGGAATAGAACAAGTTGTTTGTTCTCCCATGGTTTGGGCATATTCCCCCCTCAGTTCCCCTCCACTGAGGGGTCTCCCTCCACCTTCTCTCCCTAGCTCATCTCTTTCCCAGGTATGTCTGGTTCCACCCCCAGATCCTATTGCCTCCAAAGCCATCTCTTTAATAGCCCGCCTTGTTCTCTTTTCTGCCTTAGGAGCATCCTATTCCAAAAATCCTACTAATCCTTTCTTCTTAAGACCATCCTGCTGGCTACTATGCCTCCCCCCACTCCCTGCCATGGGCCCTTTTATCTTGTGGACATTTCCTTTCACCTTCCAGTAGCTGCTCTATCTTCCTTATGCTCCTACTTAGGAAATAGTGCTCTGATTTCAGTCACCGGATTCTCCTGGCCTACCCAGGTACAAAAAAAGAAAATAGCTGAATCCCCAAAGGCAAAATGCCCAGGGCTAAAGAGAAAAGGAAGAGGAAGACAGGCCCTTTGGCAGCCCTTGGGGTCCAACAGACCTTGTTTCCAATAGAAATTCTTGTTTCCAAAAGAGTTAGCCCCCAGGCCTACTGGGGTCATTTCCACCTGCTAAGCTGGATGCAATGAACGGCTGACCAGATGGGGAATCATCCTGATGTTAAAGAAGTTTAAGCTTCAGAGACCCCACACTTGCGTGTGGCCCCTATTTTCTTAAATAGGGCCCACCAAATTGTGTAAGATTTGGATCTCAGAACACCTGGATCAGCCTGAATGGGAGAAAGCTTATTGGCTTCTAGAGGTTAAGGACCAGTGGGGGAACAAAAGGGCTCTCAGTGAATTGATTCTAAACAGGGTTCAGTAGAATACACCCTGCCCCAATGGAGAGGGCACCCTCCCATGGAGGATCCAGGGCTCTTGAATTCTCTCTCAGCTGAATCTTAGCTGGATTCTCCACTCTGGGTCTTTGGGGCACACCCAACTAAGCCCAGCCTTTAGCCTCTCCCTTGGCCTCCCAGTCAGTCCTGGTTCACAGGTGCTAGACCCCTTCTAGCTAATGTTCTCCCTACTCAGTTCTTCAAGGCTTAGCTGTAAATCTGCCAATTTAGAAGTGACTTCATTACTAAGGCGAAGCCACAGTCACCGCTTTAAGACCCTCCCTTTGCCCCTGCATCCACAGAACCCATCCCTGCCCTCAACATTTGGGTCAATACAGTCTTCTCCTCAGAAGCCAGAACTTGCCTTTCCTTACTAAACTAACAGCTGCCCAACACACCCTTATCCTGGGGTCTTGCTGGTGACCCCAGGAATCCCACCCTTGCAGCTTCTCTACTCCCTGCAGAAGAGAAAAATGAAGGAATTCTGAAAAGGAGACGGGGCACGGATTGAGGACTAGGATACTGGGAGGAAAGGCATTGATTTGTTAGGGAGTACTAATAAGTCTTTCGTGAAGCTTCAGGAGCTCTGGGGAAGCTGTGTTTGGGACTGATTTGGAGTCAGAACCCACGAGTGATCTGGGGGTCTGGGACTCCAGGGCTCCAGGCAGGTGCAGAGATTCCCAGCAGGTTCCTGTCTGGGATTTCCAAGGGAACTGGCCTCCCGCCCGGCGCCCTGGCCAGCCTCAGCACTTACCGGGCAGACTTGGGAAAGTCTCTGAGAAGTGTGGAGGCGGGGGCGGTGGGGGCTCTGCCACTTTCTCCCGGGCCGGCAGCAGCTCCTCGGCTTCCAACCCGCCCTCCGAGCGTCGGCTGCCCGGCTCGGGGTTGTTTCGGGCGGCAGTGGCGGCGGCGGCGGCG